ATATATATGTATGTATATATATTTAGTTTGAGATTAGAGATTTGGCTACCTACTTAATTTTGTTCCCAACATGCCACATGATTTTTCTGTTAATAATTAGGTGATGTTTTATTATTATTATAAAACAAATTCAGTGCATATATATATATATATAATTGCTTAGATGGGTAGGTTTCAATTAAATATTTAAAAAAAAAAAACTTGCTTGGGTTACGCTTATTTAAGGCCGTAAAGAGGAAAAATTAATTCACACTGCTGGTGGGAAAGGGAAAAGGTGACACAAACATGTGTGGTTGTTGATGTTAATTAAAACAATTATTAGAGGTTAGAATGTGTTTTATGTATTTATATTGAAATCGGTCGAGATATGAGTCATGCTATTCATACTTTCTTAAATTTTTACATTTTATATTAATTGATAATATCAATGTTAAAAATTAAAAATATAATTAAGAAAAGACTCAGCTACTTAACTTTATATATGTAATACTCCCTCAATTCAAAAATATAAAATATTTTTTGAGGAGTTGAATGTTCAAAAATATAAAGCATTTTTAATCTTTAGAGGTGTAATCATTATCTTTTTTTAAAAGTGTCCTTATTGATAATGGCTTTTTATTTATTGTAGGATATTTAATAGGGACAAATATAAAAAAATAAGGTTAGTTTGAAAAGTGGAGAACTATTTTATTGGGAAATAAAATTCAATTAAAAATGCCTTATATTTTTGAACATGAGAAGTATATTTTTATTTAATTAAATTAAAATAAATGAACTTTAAAGTATTAATAACAAGATGTTATAAAAGTGATAATACATAAAGTTAGTATATAAATTTTTTTAGTTTAATAAATAGTATGGGTTGTTTAATTAATAACATGGTGTATATATATAAGGAGAATTGCTTTCAAGGACATCTCAAGCAAATTAATTACGAATAAGGACCGATAACAAGTTTTATTATTAAAAAAAATTAAAATATACTTTTAGTTCTTTAATTTTATAAAGTGTTTTTTCAATCCTTTAATCTTAATACCATTAGTTTCATGACAAAAAGAATTTATATTAAATTTTTAAATATTGACAAAACATTCTCAAATGTTAACTTATTAAGTTTTATTTTAAAAAAATAAAAATAATTAGCATAAATAATAATAATTTGAAATTAATGATGTTAAAATTAAAGGATTGAAAATATATTTTATAAAATTAAAAGACCACATTGAAATTTCATATAAAGTTGAAAGACCAAAAATATATTTTAGTCAAAAAAAAATTTATATTCTTTTTTAATAACAATTTATTTCATATTTATTTGTATATAAATAATTTGTTTGAGTCATCCTTATATATGATTATCCCACACATATATATGACTTAATTAATTTTTTATATAAAATAATATTTGACATTTTTTTCATTGAAACACACGCAAAGATAAATATGCAGCATATTGTACTACTGAGATTGAATGGCTTGACTTTATCTTTTTGGGAAGACACAACAGGCAGGATCACACGGACTTGTGCATTCACAGGAGAGGTGGCTTCTTTCTGTTGGTAAGGAACATTTTAAAAGTTGTAAGTCTGCTATACGTCCCTATGGAGCTTACACGTGGGTTATCATTTTAGTTATATATTAATATTAATAGCTAGTTAACCACATTCAATCACATGATGTCGCAATAATGTTTAATTTTAAAATATATGTGTGTAATAAAGTATAATTTAGGAAACCCTTGAAACTGAATTAATAGATCAATGCGCACGTGGTAAGGTTTCCTTTTCTAACAAAAAAGTCCATGTAATCATCCATCACAATATAAAATAAGGGTTATTGACAATTTTTTCTCCTAAATGTGTTTTTTTTTTTTTAAGATCGCATTGGGTACCTGGCCTGTATTAAAGGGTGGAATAATATTTTTTTTAAATAATCTTTCAAGAGTAAAATCATCCTTTCTTCATATATTTGTCATCTTTTTCATTATCTATTATGATGAAATAATCATGAAGTCCATATATGGTGATGATATGGCATTTTGACCATCCAACAAAAACACTGAAAGTGAAAATGGCAAGAACTGGACATAATTTTAATGGTGAAATGGCATCAAAATGCCTTGCTTCCGTACAACTATTTCATGTATGCAGACGAAGGAAAAAATGACAGAGTCTCTTCCGGAAAAACAATTTTACTGTTGAAATAATTGTTTAGGATAATATTGCCCCATCCTTCAATATAAGGTGCCTAACTTTCTTAAAAATTTTCTGAGAAAAATGGCCTTTAACCTTATAAAATGATAATATACTCTCTCTGTTTTAATTTACAAAACATTTTTAGATAAAATTATACATATTAATAAAATTCATTCAATACACTTTACAATTTTATTTTTCAAAATAAAAATATAAATTATCAGAAATGTCCTATATTTAATACTCAACTTGTAAAAACATATTAAAGAGAGAAAATACATTGAAAATGGTAATATTGGTAAAGTTTTTATTAACAAAACCTTAGTTTTATCAAAATATTTTATATCTTAGGATGGTCAGTTGTCCCTAAAAGTGTCTTATAAATTGAGATTGTAAAAATATATAACAAATTACAATATTAAAAAATTATAAATAATATGGCTGAACTCATAAAAAATATTTTTTATATAAGAAATAAATGGGTTTTTAAAATTGTAAAGGAAATTCAGCATCTAAGAGTTTTATTCATTCATTCATTCATTTTTCATATGACATGAATGTCAATTGATTATTTTCAGTTGTATCCAAAAAAAAAAAAAGAATGTCAATTGATCTTGCCCAACTTATTAAAATTAGAATTCTATTACTATGTTATACCATGGGCTAATATTCAAAAAGAAGTCTCTGAGTTAATTCCCACTTCCTTTTTTCCTTCTATTAATATATATGTGCGGTTTCCTTGCCAAACCTGTTAGTCACTTTTAGACTAAAATATCTCTTCTTTTGACCTTAATTATTCGAGTATATAAAATTGATTTATCTTATTTATTTCGAACTAAATAGAAGATAACGAAACAAAAAGTCTTTCTTGTTTCTTTAGTTTCATGATGAACGGTTTGGACTTTGGACAAGTTTTAATATATAGACATTGTACTTTTTGTTGAACACATTGAAAATTAAAAGATTGGCCTATTGAGTCATTTGCTCCATTGTAAACTGATTATATTATGGTATAATTAATTAATTATCAATAAATTTGTGTGATTTAATAATGTTCACTGAAAACTAAATTAATTTTTCTTATCCGAGAAAAATCCAATTCACTTTTAATTTTTCGCATCAAATTTATTATCTCCCACTACTAAAAAAATACAAATTAGCGAGGAAATTTAGCGAGGGATCATCTATTCCTCTCTAAAATATCAAGTTAGTGAGGAAATTAGCGAGGGATATTAATTTTGTAGCTCGACTTAAAATTAGCGAGGAAATTAACGAAAAATTGTCAATCCCTCTCTAAAATAAGAGAATTAGCGAGGAAAATAGTGAGGAACTGTCAATCCCTCTTTAAAATAAGAGAATTAGCGAGGGATTTAGTGAGGGACTGTTAATCACTCTCTAAAATAAGATAATTAGTGAGGGATTTAGCGAGGGATTCTATCCCTAACTAATTACTACAAAAAAAAAATTACCTTTTGATAATGAATTTTAATTATACATTTAATTATTTTCATTTAAAAATAATAATTAAATTTAAAAATTAACTAAAATATTTATAATAAAATTATTTAATATTTTATTTATTTTAAGTTGATTTTCATTAATAAAATAATGTTTTATTAAAAATATAATATAAAGAATAATTTAAATAAAATATAAATATTTTTAACATATTAATAATTGAAAATAAAATTTAATATGTATATGTGTGTATTTTTATAATATATTATTTGATATATTTATGTAGTTAAATAATATATATATATATATATATAATTTATCATATAATGCTTAAAGGTGTTTTTTAGTTCAACTGGCAAAGAAGGAGAGCATAAAATTTGGAAGGTATGAGGTTAAGGGTTCAAACCTGGCTTTGGCATAAATATGATAAATATATGATATGGTAAGGAGTAAATGACATGGCGCAAGGTGGACAATGATGTGTCATAAGTTGACCGACATGTAGTGGGTGATAGGGCACGAGATGGTGGTTGACATGGTGGTTGACAAAGCGTGTTGATGACATGTCACAAGTTGACATCACACATGGCGGGTGATGTGGCATAATTATTTTTAAATATAAGCATATTTAGTGAGGGATTAGCGAGGGATTCAGTCCCTAGCTAATTTTAGCGTGGGATTGAATCCCTCGCTAAATCCCTCGCTAATTAGCGAGGAAAATATAATTCCTCACTAAATTTAGCGAGCCCTTTTTTAGCTATGAATTTAGTGAGGGATAAAATTCGTAGCTAAAATGCAATTTAACTACGAAAAATGGCATTTCTAGTAGTGTCCGGATCTGGGTCAAATGGTGCGATTGGATTTAATTATAATATCATAATTTTTTATTAAAAGAAGAGGAGAGGAAAAAAAAGTCAACCTAAATACTAACGATAGAAAGAAACAAAATCTTTTCATCATAACTTTTAAAAATTTTAATATTTAATTTTTACAAATAAATGGCATGGTGCATTGGATATGTAAAAATTTCCCTAGGATGTCATAATCTCATGTTATTAAAATAATATCACTAGATCAAAATTTTTTCCACCAGTCACTGAAATCAGATATTCAATGAAAAGGACAACTTTCTGTTTTTTTAACAGAAATGCCAACTTTGTTGTCATCATATTTGCTAACTAACTAGGCAATGCATAAAATCAGATTAATTTCACACTCGACTATACCAAATCAGTTTGGATATCCAAATCTGAAAACTTACTGTGCTATTAATTAAACAATGATCAGAGTTTATTTCTGGGTTAAAACTAAAATCTAGTTTATTTACTGCTCTAAAAATCTTAAACATATAAAAGAACTTTTCATATTAAAAAAGAAAAAGAAAAACATATTATGGTGAAAAAAACAAGCACATATTTTTCTCCCCCTGAAAAAATATTCCTATGGACGACAGTGCGTGAAATGAAATCTATTCCTGAAGCGATTAGTGGTGGCGGTTCTTATTTTCTAATTTCTATACACTTCCCCACCTCCGGAAATCGAATTGCCAACTCATAAACGACGCCGTTTGAGCCGCCGTTGCCGGAGACCGCGCCGACCCGGTTTTTGACTCGGTTGAGTTCCCCGGCGCAGTACGACCCGAACCAGAGTGAAACGGTACGAGACCGATGGCGAGCTCCAGATTGGGCTCGCCAGCACCATGAAGCGAAGAATCGCGCTGCAGCAATGGCGGTTCTTCTTCTGTTGTGGTGCCACTGCTCGTATTGTTCAACTCCTGATCAATGGCCTTGATGCTGCTGAAATTGATGCAGTTGAAAACTATCACTCTGCCGCTTCTGCTTCTGCATCTTCTCGGTGAAGTCGTTTTCCCCCGCCGGCGAGGTCTTGAAGTCCCACTTGGTGGCGGATTTTACAGAGACGGTGGTGTCGTTGAGAGGACGGTGCGTTTGCGGATTGATTCCGCGGCTGATGAGCTTGCGCTTTATATGAGTATTCCAATAATTCTTTATCTCATTATCGGTTCTACCAGGCAATCTCGCCGCAATCAGAGACCATCTAGATTCAATTCAAACAAAGAAAAAAACAGATCAACTCAAAGTTTCCCGCGTTTTCTCGGCATCTAAACAGAGGCATATATAATTCGACACAAAAATGAGAACAAAAGTAATAATACTTGTTTCCGAGTAAACTATGAAGCTTGATGATGAGGTCGTCTTCTTCTTGGGTGAAATTTCCTCGTTTTAGATCAGGACGAAGGTAGTTTATCCATCTCAATCTGCAGCTCTTCCCGCACCTGAGCAATCCTATACACAACGGAACCAAAGGAAAAAAAAAACCAGAAAATTTAAAGAAAAATTGAATCAAAAGAGAACTTCAAAATCAGAATCAGAATAAAAAAGGAATAGTGAATCGATACCAGCAGCTTTTGGGAGAGAACGCCAAGAACCTTCCCCGTGGAGGCGAATATAATCGATAAGGCGTTGGTCTTCCTCTTTGGTCCAAGCGCCTTTGTTCGTGTGCGCTTTCTCACAACAAGGCGAACGTCCCATAATCTCTATGAACAATTAAGTTTACAGAAACAAGAAGGAGATTGATTGATTGATAGGAACGAGAGAGAGAGAGAGAGAGCGCAAAATCTGAGAAATAGTGAGTGGATAAGTTCGTTTGAATTTTGTTAGTTTTTGCTGTGTTCTGTGTTGATAAGAGAGGAGGAATAACTGAAAGAGACTGTGGCTTCAGCGTAGAGAGAGAGAGAGAGAGCGGCTGATGTGAAGGGGAAGGAATGAAAGGAAGCGGTTGGTTTGGGAGAGCTCTGTGCAATAATATTTTCAATTTCAAGGCATTGATCTACATTATAAATATAAATAAATAAATATAACTGTGGCTTGTGTATATGGTTGGTAACGAAAGGAAAAAGAAAAACAGTTTTGTGTAGTATAAAGTTTTGAAAAAAATGTTAAACATAATACATAGTTACATGTTGATTAATTATAGATCTTATTAAACCACACAGCTTGTTAAATTATATTTAAGAATCTCTTAAAAAATGATTTAGAATCAAGGATTCTGAAATTTTAAAATTAAAAAAAAAACATCATAGTTCTTTTATTGAAATTTAACTTTTTCTGAGTTAAATTATTTTAGTACTCATCTTCTATATTTTGGGTACTCACTTTAGCATGTTCAATGCTCAATTTTTTAATTTTTCATTAGTTATCTGAGACGTTTTCAATATTTATCTTCTATATTTTCAGTATTAAAAATATTTATCTTTAATTATTTTCAATAATGGAATATGAGTATTGAAACTTAGAAGGTGGCTATTGAAAACATAAAATTTTTAATCCTAGCTAAAGATTGTAGTTTTTCTCTGAAAGTTTATAATTTTAGAGCCTTAAATTGTAATTAATGTTTTCAAAAGTTTTTTAACGTCAATTCCCCCTTTTTTTATATTTAATCTGGACGTTTGTGGGGAGAGTTGACTATCTTATGATTTATAAATTTAAATTGGTAGTGTCTTTTTTATATTTGCAATTACACAAATATATATATATATATAAATAATATCATTGAATAGTTAAAATAAATTGTATTATTCTAAGCGAACGAGCATTTTTTTAAAATATGTATGGTATGTATGAAAATATGTCTAGTTGTACAATAAAATAAAAAAATTAATTTTCATTTTCTTAATCTATTTTGAATCCGGCATATCAGTATTCACTTTCCAATGATCAATAAATAAATAAGAATAAAATCATTTGAATAGTGACTCTCAAATGAATGAGTTTCTTTAAATGCTAACTTTCCCCAAATATTTTTTCTTTTGGAAATTGATCATTACAATTTTAAATGGAAATTTAAAAAAAATATTAAAATAAATTGTTCGCAATACTTTACAATTCACGTGATACAATTAAAAAGTCGAAAAGTATAATGTTCCTTCAATCTACATAATGCAAGGAAATCAAAAAAGTTCTTACCTGATACTTCATCAGTCTCAATCAATAAAATATCTTTATATAAAATTACACATATTAATAAAATTTATTAAATATTTTTATAATGTCATTTTTTAAAACAAAATATAAATTTTCAAAAATAATATTTATTTAATATTTTATTTGTGAAAAATATTAAAATAAAAAATATAATGAGAAGTATAATATTGAAAAAATTTTATTAGTAAACTTTATTTTTATAAAAATATTTTATATTTTGAGATGTTATATTTTTTTTTAAAATTATCTTCTACATTAGTATGGTGGAAGTAATGGGCCGAACTTACCAAATAATATATCACCTTTACATTTATTATTATTTTTTTAAAAAAATTAATTTCAATGGAGGATGATGAAACCCGTTAATTTGCGGAGGAGATGGAAGAAAGGTATGAGTGGAATTTGACGAAACTTGGTGAGAAAGACAAGTGGCAGGTAACTTGCTTAACTTGAAACTCGCACATTTATGATTTATCTCATTTCCGTGTGTGCCCTTTTCTCCACTTGGTTTCCACGCGCCACTTGTATTTCATGCCCACTTGCTACTTTCTTTTTCCATCTCTCCATTACTAAAAAATAAAAATTAATGAAAGAATTTAATGGGCGGTCGTCCATTTTTTTTAAATATTAAATTAATAAAAAAATTAATGAGAGATATTAATTTTATAATTTGACTTAAAATTAACGAGGAAATAATGAGTAACTATCAATCCTTTTCTAAAATAAGAGAATTAGTAAGAAAAATAGTGAAAGACTGTCAATCTCTCTTTAAAATAAGAGAATTAGCGAGAAAAATAGAAAGAAATTATCAATTTATTTTTAAAATAAGAGAATTAACAAGAAAAATAATAAAGAACTGTCAATTAAACTCTAAAATAAGATAATTAATGAGGGATTCTGTCCGTAGTTAATTACTGTAAACAAAATTTAACTTTTGACAATGACTTTTAATTATATATTTAATTATATATTTATTTTCATTTAAAAATAAAAATTAAATTTAAAAATTAACTAAAATATTCATAATAAAATTATTTAATATTTTTTTATTTTAATTAATTTTCATTAATAAAATAATATTTTATTAAAAATATAATATAAAGAATAATTTAAATAAAATATAAATATTTTTAAAATATTAATAATGGAAAATAAAATTTAATATGTATATATGTGTGTATTTTTATAATATACTATTTGATATATTTATGTAGTTAAATAATATATATTTAATTTTTAATATAAAAACTATAGGTGCCTTTCAGTTTAACTGATAAAGGAGGAGAGCATAAAGTTTGGAAGGTATGAGATCAAGCGTTCAAGTCTTGACTTTGGCATAAACATAATGAATATATGACATGATAATGAGCAAGTGACATAACGCATGGTGGATAATGACATGTCATGAGTTGTCACACATGTGGCGGGTGATGGGACACAAGATGATAGGTGATATGGTAGTTGATAAGGCACAAGATTATTAATGACATGTCACAAATTGACGCACACATAGTAGATGATGTGGTATCATTATTTTTAAATATATGCATATTTAGCGAGGGATTAGCAAGGAACTAATCCCTCACTAAAGTTATCGAATTTTAAATAATATTAGCGAGAGATTCAATCCCTAGCTAATTTTAGTGAGGGACTTAATCACTCACTAATTAACGAGGAAAATACTATTTCTCGTTAAATTTAGTAAGCTTTTTTTTAGCTACGAATTTGGTGAGGAATAAAATCTCTTGCTAAAATGTAATTTAACTAGAAAAAATAGTATTTAGCTAGGGATTTTTCCTTCGCTAAATTCTATTTTTCTAGTAATGCTCTCTTTCTCTCTAAATTAATTTATAAGTCTTTGTTATTTTACATGATTTTAAATTAAGTTCTTACAATTTATTTTATTTTAATTAGATTATTATAATTTGATTGATTAAATGTGTTAGTTCTCAATTGTTAAAATCCTTTAATTTTCTTTTTTTAAAAATAAAATTAATGACTTTTACATGTTTGTTAAAAGATTATATAATTTTAAAATTAATTTCACAATTGTTGTAATTCAAAATTTATATAATTAGGTTATATTTTCTAAATAAATTTTACATGCATAAAATTTTTATAAAAAATTAATAAAAATATAAATATTGTATTAAATCAAAATTTTCCAAGTAAAAGTATAAAATCAAATTGTCTATAAATTCTAAATGTGTTTTTATTTTGAAAAGTCAATGTTCATTAATAGTTTTCACTTTCAGGTATTAATATATTTAATTAATTAAACTATAAGGGTTTAATTAAAATAAAAAAAATTACAGGGACTTAATTAAAAATTAAAAAACTATAAAGACTTGCAGATTAATTGTTTACTTTTTTTTAATATATGTGTGGTGTGTGGATATATAATTTAAATGGTTTGGTAAGCTTTGTTCGGTTTTCATACCCCTCCACCCACATGTTAGGTTTCTTTAATTTTATGATATTGGGTTCTTAGGACCCCATTTTACTTAAAGTAGAGGTAGAACCCACAGTGGAATTGATTAGCTACTAGGGTTTCACTTCAAAATTTATTGAGGGACTTTTGTGTTAATAAAGTTTAAAGTGAAAAATATTACTTTATCCTTACTAAAACAATAAATTTCAATCACAACTTTTACTTAAAAATAATAATTTTTGTTCTGTGAATCACAAGAATTGAATAAGAAATCATAACTTATCAAGTGTAATTTTTGTCTTAAAATAATAAGCATCAATCAAAACTTATACTTAAGAAATAATAACTTTTATTATGTGAATCGCAAGAATTAAACAAAAAATTACAACTTATCAAGTGTAGTTTTTGTTATTGAAAAACAAATTCTTAAAATAACAAGCCCTAATCATAACTTTTGTTTAAAGAATAATAGCTTTTATTCAAAGAATCGCAACAATTGAACAATAAATCATAACTTGTTAATAAAGGTAAAATGATCTTTTTAATTTAAAATTTATATGCATAGAAGTCCCTAGAGATTTTAATGAAATTATGACATTTTAAGGGACTATATTGCCATTTATATAATTTAGGAGGATTTTATTGCCATTTTTCTATATTTAAATTTGATCATTGTCCTTCAATGCTATCTCTTTATTTTACTTTCCATATGAGGAACAAGAGATGTCTATTTTGTTTGCACCGTGGGTCATGCATGAGGAGTTTGCTGATTTTGTTGAAGAGCACTGGGCTAAGCTTTAGGGTTGGAATTCTTCCATATCTTCATTCACTAAAAAACTTGTGAAGTGGAATAAAGATGTTTTTGGAACATACATAACAAATGAAAGGATATGTTATATTGGAGATCAGAAGAAGTAAACAAAAAACATGCAATTTTGGCTCCTACTAAAGGCTTAAAGAAACTACCCAGTGAGCTCTAGATGAAGCTTGACAAAATCTTAGCATAGGGAGAGGTTATGTGGTTACACAACTCTCTTATTGTAATTGGTAAATGCATGGTGACTGTTAACACTTGATATTTTAGCTAATAGTAGATAGAGATGGAATAGAATTAAGGCCCTTAAGCTTGAATCGAGGGAGTGGTCTTATGATTTTAATGAAATAATGATTGTGGGGACAAGTTTCTCTTTGAAGCTCTCTATAAGGAGCAAGGAAGAAGGGTTACATGTGCATAATTTGGTCTTTGAGTATATTCTCTTATTGCTCCAAATTACTTGAAGACTATAGAGAATTTTGTAATTAGCATTGAAATAAAAAGGGCTCTCTTTGACATGGGCCCTTTTGAAGGCTTCAGATTAGATGGACTAAATTCCCTTT